GACGTGCCCCCCGGCGGGGGGTGAGGGGGTTCCCCGCCGCCGCCGGGGGCTCGGGGGGCGATGGTGGGGCCGGGCCCCGAGGGTGGCCGGGAGGGGGACGGGGACGTGGACGGGGACACCCGGGACGCTGTTGGTGGGATGCAGCGCGGGCACCCCGCTGCCCCGGCCGAGCACCCAACACGGGTTTTCTCCTGGCAGCCTGGTCACCAAGAAGAAGAAGAAGGAGCTGTGCGCGGACCCCCGGGCGCCCTGGGTGCAGGCGCACCTGAAGCACTTCCAGACCCTCAAGAACTGACCCGTCCCCGCGGTGCTGCCCCCAGCGGGCTTGGCTGCCAGCCCCAGCCACGCCACACGGCACCGCAACCCCAGCCTTCTCCAACGGCAATAATTATTCTATTTAACTTATTTCTGTTAAAGTAAATATTTTTTGCTAAGAAAAGGAAAAAAACACAAAAAATAAACTTATATTAGGGAGATTGTGCAGTTTTACTGGATGCGGTCTGGGAGGGCAGTTGGGTGTCCAGGTGTCCCCGGAGGATGCTGGTCTCTTCTTCCTCGGCCAAGGTGCCCAGATCCGGGGCGCTGGGCGAGGGTTCTGTGCCGGAGGGGTTGGAGTGTGCGCCAGCGGTGTCAGCAACAGAGGGAACTGCAGGGGACAGGGAGGTGAGGAGCACAACAAGGACAGCCATACTCCCTCCCTCCCTGCCCGGACCACAGCTCTGCGCTGCTTCCCAGCTCCAAGTTGGCTGTGGTGGCCACTTGGCTCGTGGCACCCTGTCCCCACGGCTGCACCTCTCACCGCTGCCCGTGTTGCTGCAGTCGCCGCACTCCCAGGACTCGGCATCTTCTGCCACGCCGGAGCAGCGCTGGTGGGTCCCGCGGGAGCCACAGGAGCTGCAGAGCAGGAGTCTCCAGGGCCTGGGGGAGCAAAGGGACCGAGTGCCACCAAAGGTCCCCGAGTTGTGGGGTGCCAACCCTGGTGCCGTGCCGAGCCCACTGTCACGCACCGCCAGCTGGGGCTGAGCTGCTGATGTGCACCCAGTGCCAGTCGCCCAGCTTGGCATCCTGGGGAACCCCCATCCCTGCCTGAAGGAGAGGACGAAGGCATCGTCTGCTCCCTGGGGCTGCGGGCACCAGAGTGAGTGGCACTCACCCGTTGTCCTCTGCCTCCTCCCGTCCCGCCGGGCACAGGCACTGGCCGGTGTCACAGGAGCTGTGACGCTCATACAGCTCTGCGAAGGACCCCTCCAGTTCCCAGGCAGCATCCCTATGGGAGCAGGGCAGCACTCAGCCCTGGGGACTTGGAGACACCCTGCTGGCACCCGGGAGATCAGGAGGGCATCAGCCGAAGCGTCACGGAGAGGGAGGGAGGTGGAGGGGAGGGCACCAACCTGTCCGGGATGTAGATGCCCAGGCGAAACATCTCTGCCTGGAAGGTCTCCACGTCCTGGCAGAGCGGGCAGTGGAAGTGGTGCAGGGCAGAGGACAGCGCCTGGCCACCGCGCCACCGCTAAAGCCACCAACCCTCTCCAAATCCCCGATTTCTGCAGAAATGGACCTTTTTGGACCAAGGAGGCTCTGGGGAGCTGCTTGCAGGTGGCTGCCAGAGCATCCCTGGGGGGTTGCTGGCCTGTGCAGTGCCGGACACAGGTATGGGGACCGTGGTGGGGACATGTGCCCCTCGGCCTCACCTTCTTTGTCACCCGCTTCAGCTCCTGTTGGATGTCGGGGAGGAGGAAGCCATAGAAGCCCTCTTCATCGGCCCCTCTCTGGATCAGCCCGCTGGCATGGTACTGCAAGAGGGAAAAGGGGGGTGCCAGGGGCTGCGGGGGTGCAGGGCTGGGGACTGGGGGGTGTCGGGGACCGGGGGGTGTTGGGGACCGGGTGGCATCAAGACTGAAGGACTCACCAGGCAGTACTCATGGACACAGAGCCCGTCCTGATGGCACAGCTGCCCAACCATGCCAGGGCCAACATCTGCCCGCCGGCACAGCCCGCACACTGCCTGGTGAAAGCCGCAATGCTCCCCACAG